GGTCTAACATGGTCTGATCCGGCTTTCTGGTTAATTATCAATTGGTCTAGGTCGGGTTCTGGGTCTTGATCTGAGTCTACCAAGGATTTTCACTGTAGCTGTAGTTGTTTTCGAGAGATAACTCAGTTACCGTCTGCGCCTTCAGCCCTCATGCTCATGTTCAAGCTCATGCTCATGCATTGCCTTTTCTCCCCACGCCCACCATCCACTCGAAAAAGGAGTAGACATTGCGAGGTCTACCCTACCACCCTATCCAAGCACCAGGAGAGAGCCACGCCTGCCGACGATGATGATGCTTCAAAAAATTGTGATGCCTCAAAAACTCTGCAGTGTCCGCGCACGTCCCGAGCCATGCTTTGTCCTTTTTCAATCGCGAAACGATCCAGTACCAAGCCACACCCACCCACACACCCTGGGTATCTATGACGACGCTTCAGCTGGTAAAGAACTTCTTGTAGCTCTCTTTCTCCTTCTTGATGCTGTCGGCAAGAGTCTTCTTCGCCCTGGCCAGCTCAGTCTTGATCGCCGCGTCCTCGGGCGCTAGCTTCGCCGCCTGCTCGTAATCCTTGAGTGCTTCCTCCAAGTCCTTCAGCGCCACCCGCGCCTGTGCACGTCGGAAGTACACTTTGGCCTTGTCCGTGTCCTTGGCGTCTTTGGGAATAGAATCAATGGCAAATCCGGCCCACTTCTGGGCTTCCTCGTAGCGCTTGGCCTTGTTGGCGAGAAGGGCAGAGTTGCTGTGCAGAGTGAACCTCAGGGCATCCATGTTGCTCTGGAGATCCTTGGGGTCGTTGTCGTTGGCTGCCGGGTACTCGTTGAGGTATCTGAGGGCCTTTTGATACTTCTCAATCCCTGTTCCGATGTCTCCAGCTTTGAATGCCTTGTTCCCAAATTCCTTGAGATCCAATGCGATTTTGTAGTATTCCTCTCCCTTCAAGCCTTCGCCCTGGTCGTCTGGATAGTCCTCGTATGGGTCGCCGGTTGGATCCGCCACTTTCTGAGTTGCTTTATCATAGGCCTCACCTTCGAGCTGACCACAATCCTCCACCACCACATCACCACCCACAGGCTTATCTGACTGCAAGGGAAGATTTTCAATGGTTCGTACGATGTTCTTGCCGTTGATAACCTCTCCGAACACAACGTGCTTGCCGTCCAGGTGGGGCGTGGGCACAGTGGTGATGAAGAACTGCGAACCGTTGGTACCTGAACAAATTAGCGGGAGACTCGAGGAAGCGTATTCCTGTGTTGATGGTCTTACCGGGACCTGAGTTGGCCATAGACAGGAGGAAAGGGCGGTCATGCTTCAGGTCGAAATTCTCATCCTCGAACTTTTCGCCGTAAATCGACTCGCCTCCAGTTCCGTTGAACCTTGTAAAGTCACCGCCCTGGATCATGAACGCCTTGATGACTCTGTGAAAGATTGACCCTAGTCCGTACACTTAGCCTTGAGCCCGTCCAACAATGTTGAGTGTATTGTACCTTTGTAGTGTAGCGGTTTGCCTTGTTGTCCCATGCCTTTTTCACCGGTACACAGAGCCCGGAAATTCTCTGCCGTTTTCGGTACCACTGAACGAGATCTTAGCGGAAGAGAGCGATCTAGCGGGGAGGACAGTAACTCATACCATCATTATACTGTCAATGGCGGTCAGTCCACACGCTTCTCACGCCGGGATTTGCGACACTTACAAGCTCAAACACTATCCGACCTTGTTTCCTTCCGCCAATTGTGATGTCGAAGTAGACCCGAGGTCGTCCTGCACAATGAGAAGGTCGGTCAGACTATGGCTATACGCATGAGAGGGTGGTAAGGCTCACCACTTTTTGCTTGCGCCATGTTGTGAGGAGCGAGAATGAGAACGATTTAAGCCGATGAGGTGTTACTAGATCCGAGAAACCGATGAGTATCACTAGGGGAGAAGTCGAGCAAGGAGTAGGAATGCACGGTGAGAGCCGCAGGCTCTTGAGTCGCACAAAAAACTTCTTGAATCTTCTCTGCTATTCACTGCGCTTGCGGCGGTCGGAGGCTCAGCCAATGGGGGGGCACTGGTGCCTGAGGGGCTCTTTTTGATTTGGCGGGGAAGAGACTAGTTAAGGCCCATTGCTGACAAGGCAGGTCCTCCGAAGTGGCCCCTAGGTTGACCGCCGTGACCGCCTAGTTAAACAAAGCCTTGCAGATCCAGAGCCTTGGTGGCTGGTGGCACCTAAGCACCGAGTGCCTTCCCGCAATTGTCCCCGGCTCTGATTCCTAGTTTCCTGTTTACTTCGCCGACATTCAGTTGTCCTTTCCTCAATTCAACTGCACCTGCATCACTGCGTGATGGCTCTATCTGCAAGTACCTCTGAGGTAGGATGTGGCCATATGTCTTGGTCCTCCCATCATTCTCGTCTGCCATCCAACTTCATTCACCACATCTTAGGCTACAGCACATCTTAGCTCGAACATTATCCATTTCCTTGTTGTTTGTAATATTTCCAGTATTCTGCTCCAGCATTACTGTTGTTCGCAATGGCATCTTCTCATGCCTCTTCCCACTCACAATCCTCCACCCAGCCTTCGACTCCTTCAACTCTGGAATTACCCCCCGAGACGATGGGTTCGGAGCCTGTCCTGGTCAAAGAGGGCAATTCTTGGGTGCTCTATGTCACCGACAAGGCACCAAACCCCGACTCTATTCCTGATCTTCAATGGGACCAGTGTTCGACCATCATTGTGCGAATCAATCCATTGCCAGACACACCTCCAGGAGCCGAATACCCCATGATAGACTTCAACCACGCCCCAATTAGCTTGGCAAACCTGGTCGAGCGAGTTGGACAAATCTCTGCCCTGATGAGGAGCAAGCTGCAGGATGATATCAACGCAGGCCAGAAGACAGTTCAAGTCGTTTTTGGGGAATGTTAGATCCGTTCTCGCGCAGGCAAGAATGTATACGTGGCTGCACCCATGTGGCGTCTCCGCGACCTCGCCGAAATGATGGCAACCTTCCACTGGATTGAACCCGAATCGACTCACAATACTGCCGGCCTGGCCACTCAGGCGAGACTGCTGACCCCGCCCTTTATCCTACCCCAGGTCTGCGTCTCCTGCCTGGATCGTGACAACCCGAGCGAGCGCAACCCTCCACACGAGGAAATGGTTTGGTCCCGATGCCACGCAGTGCTCCAAGATTCGTACAAGAATGGATCACTCGCACTGCTATTTCCTGGAGCGACTGGAGTGTGGAATTTTCTCGGAACTCATCTAATGAAGTATGCATACGTTGTCAAAGACTTGGGCGAGGCTCGTGCGGGAGAGTCATCGGTCATTCCAGCTTCTTCGGGCGAATTGAAGCTCTCTGATGATGTGATCCGCAATGGGATGAAGGAGATTCAGCCAGATCCAGAGGAACAGCTTTACAACGAGGAACATGGCTGGACCCTTTCTTGAAAGGTATCATGATCATTAGGCCGGCGCATTAGATCGGCCATTTTCACGTGATTGGGACTTCTGGTAGGCACTGCTGGGAACACGGTCGTTGAAGGATTAGTTATACAGAAGTCATGCTGCTATTGGAGGAATAGGGGCAAAGTCAGTTGGTCAATTAGACAGATTTCGCTATCAGCCTTATCGAAGTCACTGCTTCTGGCTCAGATTCTATCAAGCTTCTCATTTTCAAGTATCTTGCCCAGTCCGCATCTACAGGAGCTCATCAAGTGTTTGATGCTGATTATCTTCGGCTTCCCTCCCCATCACGCCGTATCCGACACTTTCAGAATGACGCGATCTTCCGGGCCCTTCCGTCTCTTATTGTGCTTCCTGGAGCTTGTTGACTGCGATCCCTACCGAAGTTAAGGCAATCCCTGCCAACTAAAGCTGCACTTGGTCAACCTTGGTTAGCGACTCGGAGCTGAAAAGGCGGGGAGACCCTTGAAGAAGAGGTGGTGAGGCTGGACAAAGGGACTAGAACGAGTGGCCTGAGGGTTACCGAGTACACCTCAGCCAGCCAGTCAGCCAGCTTGGACCACGGACTGTATTCCGTTGAACCATTGTAAGTGGCCCGGCGGCCTGTTGCGAGCGAAAAGGGTCATGGTCAGGTGGGCTTTTGAAGAGCAGTTTGGCAAGTAAACACAGGAAGAAAAAGGTGATCACGAAACGAAACGAACATCAGCCCCGCCTTCCTCAGCTCATGCATGTGTGTCACAGGCATTTCATCGTTCCATACGAGGCTTTCTGCCCACCCCCCTGGCGTGCGTGCCCGTGGCTGCCTGTCTCTCCAGTGAGTGAGCGAGTGAGCGAGTCTCAGCTACAGATTCGGCAGTGGGCACGGGCGTGGGTGTTGGCTGCTCAATGCGTACGAGCAGGACTTCCTCGCGTGAGTGGCCCCGAGGACAAGAACATGACAAGCGAGCGAGTGAACGATCGGACGATGTTTTGTTGAACCAGCCAGCCAGCCCACCGCATCTTCAGCAGTGCACAGGCCTCCCGTTTCCCGGCATGATGAGCATGAGCATGAACTCAAGATGCATGTCGAGACCTTGGCGCACATTGCGCAAGTATCCTCGTCGTTTCGAGCTGGAGATCGAACCACACTTGTCCGGACGTCAGCGCCCCAGTCGGTGCTTGCCTTTGCAGCTCAAAGTCCATACCGACGTGTCTGAATGGCCGTTTTCTCTCAAGGGGCCCCTTGGCCTGTTGACGAGCTGTGCATTCTGGACGAATCGAGGACCGCGAGCTCTCAGCTGGAGGGACTCGGTATACAGCCCACTCGTCGTTTCTCACGGTGCTTGGACTCATCAGCTGAGCCTGATTGACCTGAGAGAAGTCTATAAAAGGTGGGAACTGACCCAGTCTTTTCTTTCTCAACTTCTTCCCAACCCTGTTCCTTATTGAAGCCCTTTACCTCGCGTGACCCATTGTTCCCAAGCATCCCTCGACTCTCGGCAGACTCAGACCCAGTCCACGACCACGACCACAACAGCAGCAGCAGCAGCAGTGACAACGCGATACAAGATCCAAGATGGTCCGCCTCCGCCTCACCAACAACCAGACTGGTCACGGGGTCAACGCCGAGATCCCGCTGCTCAACCACCAACAACCCATCCGGGAGTTCTACCCGCTCGACTCGAGCGGCAAGTTCCTCATCAACGCTGCCGAGCTGACGGCCGATTTCCAGGGCGTCGAGGTCGTCGTCAACGCCGGCGGCCAGTCGGTCGTGCTCACCACCAACCAGAACTCGAAGCAGTTCAACGGCCTGGTCGACGCGGCCAACGGGAGTATTTTGGCCAGGAAAGCCTGATTTTGTGGGAGAGGATCACTGATCGATGAGAGGAGAGGGGATCTGAAAAGGGGGAAGGCGGAAGAGAGGGCACGTAGGTAATATCATAACGAAAAGAGATGGTGATATGTTTGTGGGGAAGTGAGAGCTGAAAAGCAACATGGTCGTACCGAGTACTTTTGAGAAAGATTCCTCGAGTGATGAGGATGGATGGACAGGGATTTTTGAGGAGAGATGAAGAGACGGAGAGAGAGAGGTTCGGAGTGCTGTTACGGGACTTGCAACTTATCACTCATTTCTCTTCTGCTGTCCGACAGGCAAGAAAATACCCTGTCTACCTACCTATTTCCTACATCCCCCTCTCTCCATCTCTTTCTTCGACTTACATGTCCCTTCGTGTTCAAGTCTATTCCCATTCCATTCCCATCGTGATAGACCTCTTTACCTTCCGGTACAAGTACTGACCATACTGATCCTGCCTTGCCCGATCCTTCAACCCTCTCACTGCCTCAGTCCCTGTTGCTTGATTTGGCTTATTTGCTTTCATTTTTGAGGGACATTGGTAGTGAGGACGTGTCGCTTAATGATGGTCCGCACACACATACACACACAGAGAGAGAGAGCGAGAGAGAGAGGCATTCACTTGCATTGTGCCGGTGTACTAGACTGCCAATCATGGTAAGGCAGTACTTCTTCTAGACTCGGTCTGCTTCCTGCCTTCAGGTCTCTTGGCCTCTTCTTTCCTGCTTGCCTAGCAGCCTGACCCTCGCGTGCCTGTCCAACTGTACTGCAAACCCCAAAGGCGCCGCAGAGTGGCACCCTCAGCTTTCTCCAAACCTGTGTGGCTTGATTACTCTGGACTGGACTGGACTGGACTGGACTGGACTGATCTAGATTGGGCTGGTCTAGGCTGGTCTGACTTAGCCTGGCGAGGCTGGTTGTGCACAGACGTGACGGGACTGTGCACCGCAGGACGGTTGCACGGGCACGGACATGCAAGAGTAACATGGAGGAAACATGTACATGTACACGCGCAAATACATCAGTGTGGGCGTGGGAGTGGTGATGATGATTCAAGGCAAGGCAGAATACCGCCAGTGCATACCAACATAGACCAAAAAAGCGGGCAGAGCTCTCAGCCTCGCCTCCAAGACCTTGTCCGTGCATGTTTGAAGAGAGCGAGGTTCCTTGCTCGAAGGGACTTTTGCGGGAAGTGGACGGAGCGGAGGGTCCTTGCCTTTTTGTCGCCTCGCGTTGCCCCAGAGGTCGATGCATACCTTCCACGGACCAATCACTTACAGACCACTGACCCGGTTCTTACGGCCTGTGCTGGGCCGGGATGGGATGGGCTGGATTGGGCCAGACTAAGTCAGTCCTCCGTGGCCCAGGCATCTGCTGAGTTTTTTCTTTTCAGTCGAGTGAAGAGGCAATGCGGTTGCAAGAAGCGAACAAGACCTGGACCGGTCACTGTCACTGTGCAAGGTGCAAGTGCACGCGCTGTGGTACGGGTGCTGGTATGTGGCTGGCCAGAGGATGTTGGGCGGGGAGTAGCCAGGATGGTAATGATGCTGACGACGACGAGGATCATGATGGGGATCAGAACCGGCCAGGAAAGGAAAGACGTGGATGGCGTACCACAACATGACCTCTCCAACCCGACCGGTGAGGTTGGTTCATCTGCACTGGCACTGTCGCTGGTGGGTGGACATGGCGATATCTCGCACGACATGAGGCTGAGAGCCGTCCATCCGTCTTGAAACCCTGACAAGAACCCGCCGAGGCCCATGTCGTTACACAACACAAGGTTGGTGGCCCATCCCCGGTCCAGACTTCAAGGATAGGGCAAGTACATACCAGACATGATGACCCTGCGTCTTGTGGATCCACTTTCTGAGTTCCACGAGGAGGTGGAGAAGGAGTCGGACGACGACGATGACGACGACCTGATCCGTGCCACCTGCCCCTTTGATACCGGTCTGGGTCTGGAGCTGGGGCTCTTATTGCATTTCATGCACGACCTTCCCCAGATTGGAGGAGGGTTGGTTCGTCAAACGCACGCAGGGATGTATGTAACAGAACGCACAACGCAGAAAGAGGTTGGGGAGTAACACGACCACAACATAGAAGTGCAGGACCTCAAGGAGACAGAGAGGCTGGGGAGTATCACGGCATGCACAGAGGGGACCCTGCTGCTGCTGGTATCCAGCTGAAACTCGGATTCGCCGTTCTCGTCCCCCTTTTTGTGTGACAATCCTCATGCCGCGCAGCAGCAGAAGCAGCAGAAACAGCGACAGCAACAACAGAACCAGAACCAGAAACACAAGGTCTGAATGCAGGCAATAAGGAAAAAGTTAGTAGATTGTGTGTAGGTCGCCCTGCAGGATGCAGGGGGAACACGGGGTGGTCAATTGATGAATAGCGGTAACAGTAGTAGTAGGAAAGTGACACTGCTGCAGACAATTCTCCCTTGGTTACTTTCCTTTTGGCCTGTGACGGTGGAATATATGTCACCAGCCACCCCGTTTGAAAGGAAGAGCAGTTTCAGTTGCAGTTGGACTTGCAGTTGTGGTCGGATTTCAAAGTTGCGAGGAGTTCCAAGAGCCCGTTCAACCTCGTGGTTTCGTTGCAGCAGTGGCTAGCATACTGAGTGTCCGTATGTGCCTAGTCGGTCCCGACCTGAACTTGCACTTGCACGCTGTTGTTGATGGGACATGAGTTCCTCAGACCACATTCAGACAACACAGAAACCACCCCCCATTTGCACTCGGACTGAATCTGAATGGGACAGCGGTGGGATTCTTGAACCACTGATTGAAACACCAATGTCTCGACTCGACAGGATAGAGAGATACTGGAACACCAGACATGGCCACGCAGGCCAGTCAGAAAGATGGCTTCCAGCCTCACATTGTTCCACTTGAAGCACTTGCATAGGGGTATCGACGGCCTAGGTGGCGATAGAGAGACACAAGGCCCAGAGGTGATGCTCATGTGTGATGCACTTACCGTACATCTCTGTTACCCCGACTCGAGTCGTACATACATAGCATAGACCATGCCTCTAGGGGAAGAGGATGAACATCGTCCTACCTTCCGCCTGCCTGCCTGTCATTCTCCTGTCAATCAGAAACCGTCAGTCATCGAATGTCAACATGTCAGACGAAACCCAGATTCAAAAGCCTTTGTGACAGAGGAGAAGCGCTTTGCATGTCAGAGAGAGAGTGAGTTTGTGAGTGACAACCCGAGGTAAGCGAGCACGAGACGTCGAATCCCTCGATAGGCAGAGTCATTGCCGCCATGGACCCAGCCACATCACCTCCGCATCATCAAGTCAAAATCTGTGTAGGGTACGACTAGGCGAGTAGGCGAGTATGCGCTTCGATCAATCTCTTGAGCTGGCTTGCTGGCTGACCGGACGGGGGACATTGTGTGTGTGAGAAGTGTAAGCCGCAGATTTTGCCATAAGTGAGCCTTGAGGTCACCCCCCCCCCCCCTTTTCTTTTACGCTGGATCCTGTAAGATTTTGAGATCCGGATCCATAACCATAACCATATCCAAATCCAAATTCACCATTGCCGCGAAATAGGTACCAGCTAATCAACAGTGCTGTTTCCCGAAACCCAAAAGAAGGCCCAGAGACAAAAAGAGACAAAAGACGTTAATTAGCTGGCGCTTAGCGACAATGTACCTACGCACTCGATACGAGGCAGGTAGGCGGGCGGATGCTGTAGATCCTATCGCTGCCCTTTTTTACCTTTCCACTTTCTCCCAAATCTCGAGGGGCGTATCCTAAGTCATCACAGGAAAAGTACATAACGAACTCAGCCTGCGAGTACGAGTACGAGTACGACTAACTTGCGAGCTGAGTGAGTAGTCAGCAAAGTCAGTCAATCAGTCAATCAGTCTACTAGGCAAGCAGGCAAAGTACATGGGGTATAATTAATTATCCTGTATACCACTTTCGGCAACGCCTGATCCTGATATCACTTCGCTTAGTAGGCAGGTAGGTAGGTATACCCACACCAATACTGCGTGGCGAGTCCTTGGATGGAAAAGAATCACTGTGGCGCAGGGGGGTGAATACGACATACCTATCTTGTGCCTACCATGAATGCGGAAATGGCAGAGCGCTTGTGCCGAATATTAGCTATGTACCTAAGTATACGAATAACTCAGGCAGGACGAGATGGTGTGTGAATGAGACATATTCACCCACACCCACATACGGAGTATACATAGCGAGAAACAGGACACAGTGATTGCTAGGTACTACTACCATGTAGGTGAGCAGTGGCACAGTGGTGATGGTGGTGATGGCAGTCGTTATTCTGACCTCAGCCAGCCTGGTGTTGAAGGATCGTCGTCTACATATCTATGTACTAGTAGGTACATGTACCTACCGAGATGCGTCGCTCCCTTCCTAGTAAGGGTGCTACGTTGGCTGGGAGGCAACGCAGGGTATACACCCAACTCGGTACTGGTACTGGTACTGGGTACTGCCAAATCCAAAGGATCCTTCGGAACATTACATGTAGGTACTTGTGCGTGCCTGTACCTGTCTGGAGCCGCCCGCCTCACCCGCTTTTTGCCCCTTTTTGCCCCCCTTCCCCCCCTTTTCCTACTGCGTACCTACCTTCTTACCTGCCTGCGTGCGATCGCCTACACTACTTGATGGGTGAAGTGGGTGAATGACAGAAGGATGGATGGACGGTAAGTACGTTGTGGATACACAGATGCGGCGTGGTGCGGGTGAGATTCCTTCCCACCCCTTCCCACACCTGCGCGTCCCTACGAGGGCGAGTAGCTACTGGGTACCTCGTACACACGACGGGTTCCTACATACTTGGTCTGTACTACCACTAATACTCCTCTTTGAAGGTCCCGTCCGTCAGCATATAGTTTAGCAGTATACTTTGCCCCCCCCTCCCACCTCCAAGAAGAAAAATTTGGTTATCTGTATATACTCCACTTGCTTACTGCCCTTGGGTGGTTCCTCGCTCCCACATTCCCTCAGATTTTAGAGGGATTGTTTCAGATGGATTTCAGGTGAATGGATTTTGTGGATTTCTAGGCGGGCACGTTTAGGTGTGGGACGTTAGAGCCGGTCGTTGTGGGTTGCCATGTGGATGCAATGGCAGTACAATTGTCGTCGCAGAACGTACGGAGTAGAAGCGGTCATCCATCATCCATCAAACTATCAACAATCAACATCAACCAGATCCATGGTGGAGAAAAAAACCAAGAAAAATACTGGGTAAGAAAAGAGAGGAGAAAATTCAAAGGGGGAAGGGAATATGTGGGTAGGAAGGTGAATACTCGTAGGAAGTAGGATCAATGCTACCAAACACCAAGTACCAAGTCAAGTAGGTACCTAGTAGGTATCAACAGGGGGAGTACTCGGTCGGTAGAGCGAGATACTGTCCTTGCTGCGAGTAGATGTTGTTGGGACGATTCGAATCCTTGTACCGAGTATTGGGGGCCTAGGGCCAGGGAATCAGGGGAATGCCCACCCACCCTGGCGCCTAGACAACCGTACAAGGTACAGGCGAGCAGGGTGGCAGGGTACAAATCCTCGCCTATCGATAAGCGTATCGATAGCGATAGCGATAGGCAAGGAGGGACAAGACATGCATGCACGCGAGGGGTAGACAATACCGATTACAACCTACAAAGGCCCGCGTTCTACATACAGGTACTGTAGACACTCGGTCAGCCATGACTGATTTCTTAATTTCTGTTTCAACAACAGACAGCCTCCATTCATTCATCCATTGTCCCTTTCGGTCTATGACCATTGACCTTTTGTCCTCGTGTTCGGCGAGACAATTCATGTCTCCGATGCAGGAAGTAAGAATTCGGAAAGCAACTTGGTGGAGATGAAAGCGCCCGATCCCTACACGCCCTCAGCGACCCCTGAAAGACTGAAGACGAACGAAACCCGCCCACACACAATAGCTAAGGAAATGCTGAAAAGGGGAGCAGGCACGCCCAGCTTGGCCGAAAGCCATGCAGCCGTGCCGCCAGCAGCCATGCAATGTATGCTTTGGTGGCGCTGTTCTTCGGCCTTCCCGCTTCCACACCTACCAAAGCAATCGAGGCAATGGTCAGATCAGCCGCCTCAGAGCTTAACTGCGCTGACGAGTTAGCTACAAAGTACCTCGTATACGCACACGTAGAACTGTGTGTGCCCTGTTGACAGCGTCCTCAAGTGGCATCATCAACCAACTCTGTAAGCGAAGGGGCTCAGCCCTATTCTCCACATGGCCTCTTGAAGCCTCTTTCGCTCCAACCAGGCATGGCGATTACCCGAAGCTCTCTCCTCGTCTTCCCTCTTCCGTCTCGGTCCCGAATGGGGAGTCTGAAACTTCCCATCGACTCCTGGAACGACTTGGCTGCATGCGAGGGAGAGGCTAGGCCAGAACTCGCTCCAATAGACGCATTCCTGGCCCAATTCAGTAAAGTCATCGCCCGGGAGGCACACGGCACAAAACGACGCAAACCACGTGGATGGGGGCGGAGTCGATTCCTCACCCACGGAATACCAAATAGTCATTAAGGTCGGCCGCGTTCTTGCTCGGGTTGGTAGTAAGCTTCAAACCACGAGGAAGAGGTCGGAATAATGCTGACCTGACGAATGACACTGGCCAGCAAGAGAGCGAGAGAGGGTGTGTGTCGTAACCCCAGAGTTGCGTGTTCTTGTGTCTTGGTAAAGGACTTGGTGAGTCGCCTGACCAGTCTAACATCCTGCTCTTAACGTCATTATTTACCCTCGTCCTTCCCCAAAAAGTCACGCCTGTCATCGAGTGATCTCTCTAGTGATCTGAGGGATTTTGCGGAGGGGGGATGGGTAAAGGTCTTCGTCACACGAGCCGATTTTCCAAGAGGGAGGCCTTGAGCCCTGATTACGCCTCTCAATCGCAAGTGGACAAGCTCGACGATAGGTCGGATGGGATGGGCGCAATGAGTCTTCGATGCGAATCGCCCTTCTCACCAATGTCAGTTGCAGGATGCAAATCACTTCCTCGTTGGATATACGAAGGATTCTTCTAGCACAGAGAGAGAGGATGGCTACCTGCTGTGACTGGACCACAAGGAGACTTTCTCCAGCGGTTGTTGCCCCGCGATCCGCCGCCCTTGACACACGTTTGACAAGCACCCTTTTTGGTAGTAGACTTGGTAGAGATTTCCATGACCTTCCTTCCTTTCCTTGACCGGCTTCGGGCAGTGGCAGCCCAGAACAGACAAGGA